CAGCCTGTTGCCTCTCTCCCTGCTCTTGTCCCGCTCTACTATGATCTGTTCTTTACATAGCAGACAGAGTGATAGTTTTTAAAAATGGGAATTACATCATGTCCTGGCCTAAGCAGACCCCCCTAAGATGACCCTTCTCCCTGGGAACAAAATGCGAAGACCTGATCTCTGGATTCAGGGCCCTGCCTGATCTGGCCTCCAACCATCACCCAAGTCTCATTTTCTATGAAGGTACCCTGCTCTGTCACAGCTCCAGCCTCCCGGATAAGCTCTGCAGGCTCTGCCCCAGGGCCTTTGTACTTGCTCCCTCCTCTGCCTGGAATAATGTTCCCCTGGAGGTCTGAGTGGCTCTCTTTTTCCTCACTCAGTTCTCTGCATCAAGGCTGCCTCCTTCAGGTCTTCCTTGACCACTACATTAGTGGCTGGCTCACCATTATTCTGTCCCCACAGCCTGCTCCTTCCTCCACAACAGCTTTCACCACTGTGTCACATTTCACATGTATTGCTTAGCTGCTTGTCTTCTGGGCAAGTGGGAGGCACTGTAGGCCAGCTAGGGCAGGGAGTCTGGGGCGTGGTCACTGCTGGGGAAGAGCTCTCAGATGAATATATATGAATATATACATGAGGCTGTATAGCTATAGAAATGGGGATAACCGTCTGGTATTTGCCATGTCTTTAAAAAGTTTTGGGGATTATTGGCATCCTCATAGTCTGTTCTCTGCTGCTGTATCAGAATACTGCAGACTGCTTAGGTGATAAGGAAAAGATCTCTCACTGCTTCTCGGCCTTTTGGCTAAGATCAAGTATAGGAAAAGAGCTCTTATTTCTGGAGGCTGGGCACGCTGAGGTCTGAGGCTGCATCTGGCTGCTTTGCAATATGGCAGAAGTTATGGCACAGTGAGAAGAGAGGAAGTGGGAGAGGGAGAAGGAAAAGGGACTGGACCCTCCTTTTTATAATTCACCTTTTCCCCATAACAGCCTTAATCTATTCATGTAAGCACAGTCCCCAATCTTCCCTCTTTTGGAACTAAGCCTTAAAATCAGAGACCCCTGCATGCTAGACAAGTGCTCAACCACTGAGTTAATCCCAACCCTTTTTAGTTTTTATTTTTTGTTTTGTTTTGTTTAGTACCAGGGACCAAACTCGGGTCCTTGCGCTTACAAGGCAGGCGGCAGAACCACTGAGATAAATCCCCGTTCTTTAGTTTTTATTTTGAAACAAGGTCTCACTCAGTAGCTCAGGCTGGCCTCCAACTTTCCGTTTTCCTGCCTCAGCCTCCCAAGAAGCTGGGATTACAGGTGTGTGCCACCATGCCTGGTTCAGACAAAGGTTTTTAAAAAATATAGACTAACTCAATGAACCATACACTATACTTAATTAATTTATAATCAATAATTATAAAACATCCTTACAAAAATAACTTCCAGCCTGAAGCCCTCCCTTATTTTAACAAACAAGGAAACTGAGGCACAGCAACAATAAAATATCTAAGACAACCCAACTCTTCAGTGCCCTGGCTTGGATTGGAATGTGAATATTCTGCTTGTTTCCACTGCATTCATTTCCAAACAAGCACCAGAAGTTTTAGAAAATTGTGAAAATAATGCTATTAAATGTCCCTCTAGAAAAATTTGCCCTGTATCTTGTGAGTTCCAGAGCTAGATAGCTTGTATCATGACTAAAAAGGAAAAGGGAACCCACACGGTCTGTGTGACAGTCAGAAGAGAGTCAGAGTTGTGGCACTATCTCTCAGCATCACAGAGAGCAGGTCACACCAGACAGGGGAAGTCTCCATGCAGATTGCCCAAGAAAGCCCGCAGTGCCTACGTGCTGGGTGTGGGGTCCGCACCCAGGGAGGGAAGACTGTACCCCTGCTCCCCCTTCCCCTAATGCCCTGGTAAACACTTGGGGTTTTCCATATACTTCAGGGAAATAGACACTTCCTTACTCCCCTTCCTAGAATTTTCATTGTCCCATATCAGTCAAGGGCAATGATTCCTTATTATTATAAAATGATCAAGGTCTAGTGTTTCTAATATGCATTCAACTTCTAAAGAAAAGAGAGTGAACCAAAGAAACAAAATGAACAAATTAAGCTATATGAAGATGAAAAACTTAAAACTACAATTAAAAGAACACAGAGTAGGAAAATATTTACATTTACCATATAAGAGTTCATTTAAATGTAAGAGAAAATCATCAAGCCTTTTAATAGTTAAAAAAGGAAAGGCTGTTGAAAGAGAAACATAAATCACTGAAAGCACATAGGAAACATTACTAGCAGCTAAAGAAATTCACATTTCAACACAGTCTTTTTGTTTTTTAGACCAATTAAATTGGCCCTGTGTAAACCCTATTAAACTCTCAACATTATTTTTGAATACCAGCTCTTATTGCAGATAAGGATAAGGCCGTGACTTTGCTCGATAGGTCTTTCTGGAAAGCAGTGTGTACAGATATCCCTAGTTTAGTGCCTGTGTTTAATGGCTGCTTGGACCTATGACCAGCATTCAGGCTTCTGACACAGGAACGTGAGTGGCAGTGTGGCCTTATGGTGGCTTCTTCTACTGTATAGTACTATAATTTCTGCTGATTGTACTGTATGGTACAGTACTGTAGTTTTATGTTCTGTTATACATCACAGTACTGCATGTAAGAGTTATGGAAATAAAAGCAAAATCATCAAGTCGGAGTTTCCTTTGACCAGTTCTTTGTTCTGAATATTGTAACGCACATACTACATACAATTCCTCATTTAATGATCAATTTATTGAACTAGTCACTGGACAGAACCCAGTCCTTAAGCAAGGAGTGTCTGTATTACAGGAGGCAGGAGTGCTGTGATTACCTACTATCAAATGTACTGTTAGAACCTTATCATGAGACAACCTTCCAAAATACTAAAGGATGGGGCAGAGGAAACACTTGGCATTCACTATGGAAGCATTATTTCTAAGAAGGGTTAAACTGCAAACAACCCAAATGTCTAACAATCGGGAACTGGTTAAGTAAATTGTGTCACATTAAATTAGTGGAATATTCTGTAGATCTTAGAAATGTTACCTGGAATATGTGAGGTGATGTTGAAAGAATTTATACTGTAATTATTTGTACCCTAGTCATGATTGTACTTAATGTACCTGTGAGGGTAGTAGCATTGACTTTTTTCTTTTCAAACTTTTTTCAAATATGTCCTTTCCAAAAATATTTCCTTTAATGATGCAGCCTTTAGCTTAAGGCCATTATAGACATTCCTCGTTTAACAACTGAGTTCTGTTCCTATGACCATATTGTTAAATGAATGGGCTGCTAAATGAGAAACTGTACATAATTCATACATTACAATATTCAGGACCAAGAAATGGTCAAAAGAAACTCTGACTTGATCACTTTGCTTTTATTTGTGTAACTCTTACATGCAATACTGTGATGTACAACAGAACATAAAAGTACAGTGCTTTACTGTATGTACAATCAGCAAAAATTGCAGTACTGTACTGTAGAAGAGGCCACCATAAGTTTTCACTGCTGCTCACACTCTTGTGTCCTAAGACTGAATGTGGTTCATAAGGCTGAGCAGCGGGTCATAAGGCCAAACAGTCATTAAACAGATGGGTTGTTAAAAGAGTAATTTCTGTATATAATAATACGTATACAATAAGGGTGCATTTTCTTGTCAGTAATTCAGCAGTGCACAAAGAATGCTCAGGTCTGCCTATTTCTGGGAACAGCAGTCTTTTGTTAAATTGAACCATGCTGGTCCCAAGGAAGCCTGACACATAAGATAATACACTGCATTGCTGTGGTTTGAGTGTCCCCTGGAAAACTCATGGTGAATGGTAATTGCCATTGTGGTAGTACTAGGAGGTGGACCTTTAAGAGTAGATGAGTGTGTGTGGTGTGGCGTGGTGTTTCCCTGCTACTCCAGAGGCCAAGGCAGGAGGATCATAACTTTGAGGCCAGTTTGGCCAACTTAGCAAACCTTGTCTCAAAATAGAATAAAAAAGGCTGGAGATGTAACCCAGTGCTTCTTGGGTTCAATTTCCAGTACAAAAAACAAACAAAAAGCTATATCTGGCTGGGGATTTAGCTCAATAGTACCGCCACCTGCCTCCTAAACACAAGGTCCTGAGTTTAATCCCCAGTACAAAAAAACAAAAAAGAAAAAAAAGCTATATCTGATCTAGCACAGAATTAATCATAATAGAAACAATCAACTTTTTCATAGGTTAAATGCATTAGTCTAACTTGAATTTACTCTGAATCCTTATAATTCTCCATACAATAGTTTATAAATCTAAATGAATTTTAAGTGCTAGACACTTGAAAGAGAAAGAAGAAATTAGACTCTCACCCCTCTAGATCTGTATTTGCTGCAGCTGCCCTTCTTTCCCTGAAAATAAGCCCTAACTGGAGAATAATTAGTCTTGAAAACTAAAGATGAGAAATGCCAGCCCCAATCAGCCCATCCTGGCCTTTCCTGCCCTCACTATTCTCTTGCTTGGTGGCTGCTCTGTTTTCAGGGAAGCATGGTAGTCACTGTGGCTACTGAATAATTGAGATGTGACTAGTTTGAATTAGGGCAGAAGTACTAACTACTATTGGATTTTGAACATTTTGAATAAAGGATGAAATATCTCATTGATGATTCATACTGTTTGTATATTTAAGTAATATTTAGGTATATTAAACATGATGTATATTAGCTACATCTTAAAATTATTTTTGCCTGTTTCTTTTTACTTTTCAACATGTGGCTGGAAGCAATGAAAAACCATACGTGAAGCTCCAAGGGTGCTTCTGTGGGACACTGTTGTGCATGTGGTCTAGATTTGGAGGTAAAGAACAACTACGAGAGGGGCAGGATACAAACAGTGACAGTACAGAGAAGACTGACTACTTACACTGTACACATGAAAATGTCTTTGCTTTTTATTCCAGCAAGCCTCATCTCCAATTTAATTTTAATTTAAAAAATCTTAAATTTATTCTCTCATAGGAAAATGGCTTTGTAAGGAAGTTTGAGCCCAAATCTGGCTGGCTGACTTTTGTGGGAGTTATGGGACAGATTTTTGAGATGCTCTCTCTCCTGAAGCAGTTCTACTGACCAAAAAGGACACTGACTCTTGAGAGAACTACTGCCAACATGGAGTCCTTCTACTTAAAAAACAGAAACAGAACCCCCTGCCCCCGCACAACTTTGATGACATAACCTGAGTTTCCAAAGTTACAGGATTTTGTCTCTATTTTAATTAATAAATTGTGCATATTTATCTTTGCATGTGATTTGTGTCTTAATTTTAACTCTGCCTGGCACTTCACCTTGGTACAGGAGATGCAGTAGGTGTTGAAGTAAGGGATGATAACCAGGGAGGTGATGTCTGTCCTGCCCTATGGAAGCTTGGGTGTGCCCACCATGCTGAAGTTGCTGTGTGTCATCAGGCCAGACCATACAGGGGCCAAGGTCTGCTGCCTACCTCCTCATGGGCCCAGGCCCACTGTCCCCCCATCCCCTGGGTGCTCAGAGTTTCACATCAATGCCTTTCTCACCACCCAAATGTCACTCTCTGGCCTGTTTGGAGTTGATGGATACAGCAACTAGCTATGTGGTGTTGGAGCTCAGAAAATGAAATCCCTAAGTCAAGGCCCCAGAAGCAGCATCAGAAGCAAAGTTTCTCTCTAATCTTCCCTGCCCTCCTGTCTGCACCTCTCATTCTCTCTCCAGGCAAGCCATAGAAACTAGAATTCATCTTCCCCAAGGCAGGTCATAGAAACAAGGACTTCTTTGCCCCAATGCCAAACATAAAACCTAATGGTATTACTCTAACCTTCCTCCTTCTTTTGGTGTAAGAGTTGGCCATAAAGAAATTCTCTGGCTTGACCTGTTTGAATGCAAGTCCTAAGACCCCCAGGCTGGAGGGGTCCTGCCCTACCCTAGAAGGAAGGAATGCTGCACAGAGAAGCTGTTGCCTATCAGGTGTGGGTTCTTTTGTTCAATTCAGATGGAAGTCACAGATTGGAAAAGTTCAGCTCCATTGGTGGCTTGGGTTTTGGGTACCAGTGGCTCTGGCCCTTAATGGCTCCATACCCCTCATCCTGGCATGTGCATCCTTGAAAGAAATTTCAGGTAATGAGTGGCTTTTCCTACCCAGTGTGACTCCTGACAGTATGGAAAGGTCAGGGGGTGAGACAGCAGGAAGGGTTTGTGGCCAAGGTAACTTTGGCTTATTACGAAATCACATCTGAGATGTATCTACTCTGTCTCGAGACTGGGGGAGCAGGATAAGAATACACATTTTCTCTTACCTCTTCCTGCCAAGGGCCTTACCTGCTCCCTGACTGCTTTTGATTTTAACTCTTTTACTCAGAGCTGGATGATGGGAATGGACAGTTCTGGGCAGACATAACAGGAAGTATGAGACTGCTACTTGGAATACATTTACACAAGAAACCACAAAATCTGGCTTTTAACCCACGGTTCCCTCCTCAGCCACATGACGTTGGGAAATCAGTGACTTTTTCTGGCTTGGAGTGTGACTCAGTCTTTGAAGCCAGACTGCACTGTGTGTTTTATTAATTTATTTTTAGAAAAAAAAATTTCTGTGAGCCTTTCCCTATTGCATACATACAAATTAGATTGAAGCAGACCATAGACCTAAATAGATATTGAAACTATACAACTTCTTGGAGAAAATGTAGAGGAAAAGCTTAATGACTGTGTAATAGGCAAAAGTTGCTTAGAATACAAAAAGCCTGAACAAGAAAAGAAAAAATTGGGTGATTTAGAATTCATCAAGAAAATTTAAAATCTACTCTTAAAAAAGGCACCATTAAGAACTCTGACAGCGAGTATCTGAATTATATAAATAAAGCTATAAAGACAATGACACTATAGAAAATAAAAATCTTGCTGAAAGACAAGGACAGAATGGGAGATTATTGGGCCCTTTAGTATCTCACAAAGAATTCCTCTCCAAGTTCATATATTATATGCTTACACCTCAATAACAAAATGACCTTAACCTTATTTTTAAAATGAGCTTTTGCTCAATTGGACGTCTCAAAAAGCATATATACAAATGGCCAGTGGAAAAGGAAAAGGTGCTTGACGCCTTTAGTCATCAGGGAAATGTAAATTAAACCCACAATAAAACTGGGTGAGGCCCAGGGATTTAGTTCAGTGGTGCTGCCACCTGGCTTGCAAACGAAAGGTCCTGAGTTCAATCTCCAGTACCAAAAAACAAACAAACAAAACAAAAACTGTGTGTCTGTAGTCTCATCTACTCAGGAGGCTGAGGCAGAAGGATTGCTTGAGCCCACGAGTTCAAGGCCAGCCTGGGGAACATAGTGAAACCCAGTCTCAAAGAAACATAAAAAGAACAAACCCCAAAACACAGTGAGTGACCAGTGCATCCCCTCTGGAATGGCTAAAATGAGCAAATGTGACAGCTTTGGAGAAAATCCAGAGTAATTGGGACACTTGCAAACTACGGTAACAATGTAAAATTGTGTAGCTACTTTGGAGAACAACTTGGAAATTTTTTATAAAGTTATATATACACTCATGGTAGGATCCAGAAGTTCCACCATCAGGTACTTATCATTCATGGCAGCTTTATTCATGATAAGCTGGTGAAACCCAAATGCTTATCAGTGGGTGAGTGGTGGAACGAGTTTAGAACATTCCTCCTCAGGCTTTTTTTTTTTTTTTTTCACTTTTCATTTTGAAACAGTCTTGATAATTGCTAAGTTGCTCAAACTAGGCTTGAACTTGCAACCCTCCTGCCTCAGCCTTCCAGAACAGGGTTATAAGAGTGTGTCACTATGCCTGGCTCCCATACCATTGAAGAGGTAACAGCCCTGCTCACACATCGCTTGCTCCCACATAGAGTGGCCTTTCCTGTGCCTCCCTGCACTTCGAATTTGGGCATGGATGCTTCTACAGCTCCTTAGGGCTGTTGCAACTCCTTCCTCGCCCTTTGTAGATGGCACTGCCTCTGCCTCCTCACCTGGTTAGTGCTCATGCATCCTTCAGATTTCAGCTGAGGTCGCTTCTGCCAGAATGCCTTCCCTGATGAGGTGAAATTCTCAAAGACCACTATCTCAATCTCATAATTATGTTTGCATGATATTAAGATTGATGTATCTTTTTTCCATTCTTTTTCTTTTCTTTCTCCCTCTTTTTTTTTGTTTTTGGAGACAGGATCTCCATGTAGTCTAGGCTGGCTTCAAACTCACAGGGATCTTTCTGCCTCAGCCTCTTGAGTGCTGGGATTATAGGCATGTACCACCACACCTAGCTAATAAGATCCATGTATCTGTTTCCCCAACAGATAGCAGGAATTCTGGCTGTACTGGTTTACTACTTTAACTCAGGGTCCAGCTCAGACCTTGGCAAAAGCTCAGTCAATATGTGTTTAAAAAATGAAGGAGAATGAGGATTACTTAGTTTTGGAGGAGGGGACTAATGAGGCTGGGGTGAGGGGCACGGTATTCTCAGCACTCAGTCCAGAGAGTGGTGATGGCTGGCTGCTTTCTAGCTCCCAGAAGCTTATTTTGGGTGCTAGAGATGGAAGTCAGGACCTCCCGGGATAAGGAGCTTTAGGCAAGTACTTTCTGTTCATTTTCACAGAGGCTGTCTGAAGTAGACATTATCCACATTTTACTCTTGAATAAATAGCCCAACACTAGGGTGAAACTCGGTGTACCCAAGTCACAGAGTTGGCCAAGTGGGTGAGAGTAGGCCTGGACCTTCTAAGGACTCTGAGGTCCAGGCTGGTCCTCACCCCTATGCTTCCTCCTCTGGTGCCACTTCCTCTGACCTTACTACACCACCTGCTCCTCTCCTGGGTTGCTGCTCCTTTCAAACTCAGGAGCCGCCTGTGAGGTCCAGCTGTGTTGGGACCCTGGGTGACCAGGCAGGTGTCCTCACGCTCCCTTGTTGCTGCCTCACCTGTTTGCAGGTGTCCTCTCAGTGGGACTGTCCCCGACTTGGGATGACTGGCACTATTTCAGAACCAAGACCTTCTGCGAAGGATGCAAGGCCGTTGTCAGGGAGATGTTCTTTAACATCCTGCAGGACATGAAGACAAAGCAAACTCCTTTATTACTGGCAGCTCTCTGTGGTTACTTCTGCTGGAAGGGTCACATCAGCTGGACAGGGCATCATGGCTGAATCATCTTTCCATGGCATGGGTGGGTTCTCTCAGATGCACAGGGCGCACGTGCAAGACAGCTGACCGAGAATAGGGCTATGATTTTTTGCCTTAACAGATAAATCAAAGCCAGCTCACATGAGAGTCAAACCCATGACCAATGTGCCCAGAAACTGTGTTAAAGGAGAAGGTGGATGACTGCTGTTTGAGCAACACAATGATGTACAAATAGAAAGAGTTTGCGGTATACAGACTTGTAACACAATTTGACACAATGCCATCGCCTGGGCTTGCTTCCTGTTTCACTGACTAGTTTCGCACTCTTCCACTGTCTACTATCTGCTCTGCATCTACACTAGTCTCTGTTCCTCCCCTGCTATTACTGGGAGTCATTGTACTGGGGTTGACCTGTACGCCTGTGACCTGGACCTCACTCCTCACCTCCCTTTGGGGCCTCTCTTCAGGGTCGTCTCCCGAACCGCACAGTGGCCCTCTGTACAGCTCCACTCTGTTAGCACACAGACTTGGATAACTTCTCCTTAGCAAAAGCAAAGGTGGAGAAAACAAAACACCTAATCTCTCAGCAACTATCCTATTTTTCTGCTCCTCTTCAGGGAAAAACCCCATCTCCAATTCCTCTTCCTGGAGTGCCTTGAGAACCCTTACCATTCATTTATCCTCAATGCTAACTTACCATTCAGATGTTTATCCTCATGGCTAATTTACCATTCATTTTTATCAGTCCATGTTTGCAGTAATGATGTTTCCATTCCTTGTGTGAAGTTGGTACATGTACACATACATCTCCATTCTGTTTTTAACCCTTTTTCCTCCTCCTGTCCCCATCCCTTGATCCCCTTCCCATCTGAGAAAGATCTATCTCCCTACTTGATATTATCTTCAATTTGGCCTTTATTTATAATTTGGGTTTCTCCTATAAGAGAAACCATGGCATATTTAAATTTGTGTGTCTGACTCATTTCACTTAATACTAAGATGCATCCATTTTCCTACAAATGACTCAAGTTTATCTTTCTTTATGGCAGAGTTGTACTCCATTGTGTATAAATACCAAACTTTATTTATTCAGTCACCTATTGGTGGACACAGAGACAGCTTCCAAG